TCAACATTAATTTGAATCAACGAGTTCGTTAAATTTAAAAATGAACAATCTTGTTGCGATTTACTAATGAAAGAAGTATGTAAATATTCGTTTAGTCAATTAATTTAATAAATTCCAAACATTTGAAAGGTACTCGGCTGAATAAGCTGTATTCGTAATCGGAACGCAGTCGACACCACTGTCGATATAGGAAATCCGACAGTGACTTCCGCAAAGAAATTGAAGCGTATGAAAGTCAGTGAAGCTTGCAAATTTTTGCTAATTCCAGTTCGCGCAAAACTTAGTAAGTTTCTCTCTTTGGGAGAGTAAGGTACCTTATTCTCTGAATTTAGTTACTGGCGAATTCTTACTGGCAGTTGCATAGCGAACACTCCTTATGTCAAAATCAGTGGCATTTATCGTCAAATAAGTGAAAACACATTGTCAAATGGGATTGAAAAGCGGTTTATCGATTGATTTCGATTAGGAAATCTGTCAGTTTTTGGCCCATAACATTATCGGTAAAGGTATACCTAGATAAAGCTGATAAAGTTGTGTCAAAATATGTGGCCAAATTTTGGCGTCAAAATATGACATAATGAAAACCAGTCTTTAGTTTTAAAGATTTATAATAAATAAAACAAAAAAGGCTACATATGTGTACATTCATACATACCTACTACATATATATGTACATACACACGTGCTATTAAATGTTGCTGTGCATATACTTATACAGTGGGGAGCTAAAATATCAAAATGTTTTTTTTTGTTTTTTAAATACATACTGTGACGAACAAAAGTATTGGCACAGTGAATTTTTCGCAATATATGTATGCAAAGTTTTCTATTCTCATTTATTTTCAATAATTTTGTATAAAAATATAGTTCATTCTACACCAAAAAACCATAACAATAAAGTCTCTAAACTTTGTGCAAAAGTCAGGAAAATTCAATAAATTTGCATACTAATTTGCAACTTTCTATTCAGATTTTTAAGAAAAGTTCTAAGTATGCAGTTTTTAGCCTATTCAATTTTAGTATAACAAACTGCAGGTTTGAAGTTGCTAGAAAATAGCGCTGATTTTTGGAAATTTTTTTAGTGGAAGGGGTTGCTCATTTTTTCCATACAAAAAATAATTGTCGAACATATTTTGTATAGAACCTGCATGAAAAAAAAAATCCTGTAAAAATCAACGCGATTTTCTGGCAACTTCAAACCTACACTTTGGTATACTAAAATTGAATGGGCTATTAAACTGCGTACTTAGAATTTTTCTTAAAAATATGAACAGAAAGTAGCAAATTAGTATGCAAAGTAATTGAGTTTTCCTGAGATTTGCACAGAGTTTAGAGATTTAATTTTTATGGCTTTTGGTGTAGAATGAACTATATTTTTATTTAACATTATCGAAAATAAATTAGAATAAACAACTTTGCATAAATTGCGAAAAATTCACTGTACCAATACTTTTGTTCGTCACTGTATGTATTTAAAAAATTTTTTTACAGTACATTACAGAAACAGTTTTCAATAAAATAAAGGAATTCCTGGTATGGCACATATAATACCAGGAATTTTACACCCCGAGACAAAATGATATGTCTAACAAAAGCCATGTACATCACATGTTCCCACTTTGTACAAAAATTAGATTTCAAAAAAGTGGCATATTATAGTGTGAAGCGTCGTAATTTGAAGAAAGTAATTTTTAAGCAAAAAACAAAGTCGACTTCAATTCTCATATAAAAGTTGAAGATCATCGTTAATTTAAACCAAATAAGTATGGGGCCACCTTTCCTTAAAAAAAAAAAAAACAAAAGAATTATAGAAATCGGTTAACGTGGTTATGAGGAAACATACATAAAACAAAAAATATTTCGACGAATTGATAACCTTCTCCTTTTTGTGAAGCCGGTTAAAAATACCGTTGATTAGTTTAAATTTGTTTGCAAGGACATTTCGAAAAAAGAAAAACTTTTTCGCCGAACGTATGGGTCACCTTTTTACATTTTTTGTTATATAATCGGCCTTTACAATCGGATCTTACAAACAAATGACCACGTGCTGATTTTTTGTTAATATTCGTAATGTTTTTCGAGCTAATTAATTTTTGTTATTTTTCTATAAAATATCGTCCAAGCTTTACCCGAGAATATATCAACCAAAGTTTAAAACTTTATACAAAATTTACGAAAGGGATCCGTACGATAAGTCGAAAATAAAAATGTCGAAACAGAAATGTCGAAATTTAAAAATTTTTTAAATCTCGAAATAATGTTTTACCGAAACGGAAATTGTCGAAATTGTATCCTTTCGAAATGAAAAAGGTCGAAGAAAGTGCAAAACGTCGAAAATGTCGAAAAATTTAAATGTTTGGAAAAAATAAGAATTAAAAGTGTTCTGAATAGCTTTTCAAAAGTTCTAGAGTTCCTAAGAAGGAAAACGAAAGTTCTACAAAATTACGCAGAAAAAAAAGAAAAAGAGCCGGTTTGTTTGATCAAAAAAATCCCGTTTATTCGATATTCGAAAAATCAAGATTTAAAAAAAACTAGTGGGAACCAGTTTGGAAAAACCGAGTCAATTACCCTACGGCCTAGCCCACACTTCTTTTTTCATGTCAAAATCCCATTTGTATATTTCATTTAGCTTGAACAGAATAAATAGATACGACATTTCTGCTTGAATTTAAACTTTTTTTTAGATTGTATTTTAATATAGCATTTTAGATAGAATCCTACCCAAAGATCGACGAACGGTTAACTTGTTTTTGAAAAGGAGGCAACCCTATTCAAATAGATTTTCGAAATAAAGCTTTCTTAAACCTCACTCGTTTGACACACATATTATAATACTTTAATTAACGTGTTATGGCAACCCTCTAAAAAAAATATTTCTACAATAAAGCATTTTGCCTATCTCGTTTAATAGCCACATTAAAATATTTCGTTTAAACTTTTTAATAGAATTGATTTTAACTTTTTAAACAGATAGCAACCGTCTTAAAGTATATTTGGTTATCAATTAATTGACTTTTACTTTTTTAACAGGTGGCAATCCTCTTAAAAAATACTTTCGAAATATATAGTTTCTGAATCGGGTTCGTTTGACACCCACATTGCTGTAATATTTTGTTTAACTTATGAAAAAGGTGGTAACTCTCTTCAAAAAAATATTTTATATGTTGAGCCAGGATATAAACTGTCTGTATTCCAAATTTAATTGAAATGCATCCAGACGTTTTAGCAATAAACATACTCACTCACAAACTTTCACATTTATAATATTAGTAAATAGGAGTAGTAGAATTTAACTTAAATAAATCAACCTGTTGAAATAATTCGCCCGAATTTTACACATCATTCATTACATTATTTCGATATATTTTTTCGAGATTTTTATTTCTTTCTTTCTTGATTTTCTAACTATTTTTTCTACATTTTTTTCGGTGTTTTTAGTTTCGACATTTTAAATTTCGACATATCGTACCAGACCCTTTTTTATTCATGAAAATTCATGCTTATATGGAAAAAATGCAAAAATCCGACACCAAAAATAAAAATCTCAAAAATCAACGGGAAATTTGTACTTGATTAGACTAACATGGTTAAAAAGTTGAAAATTTGCTGAATTTTCGTGAGTTTTGCACAAAGTTTAGGAATTATATTTTCATGTTTTTTTTTTGTAGAATGAAACATATTTTTATAAAAAATTTACGGAAAAATATTAGAAAAAAAATTGTTGCATATATGTATTGTGAAAAATTTGCTGTGCCAATACTTTTTGCCGGCAGTGTACATACATATCGTCACCTGAAATGCAAAAAGACGTAACAACTTAGTAACTGAAATAGAAAAAGTCTTGACTTTTTTTTCATTAAATGATGTGCGAGTTGTAATTCGATGAAATCCATCATATCAATCAAAAACTGAATTTTGAATTTTTTATTAATTACGACTTTTTGAATTTCAGCGAAGATGTTTGCTACGTCTTTTTGCATTTCAGGTGACGATATGTACATAGTGGATTATTGCATATTTTTAGGCCCAAACGCGCATCTGAACCAAGCTCAAAATAAAAATAAAAATAAAAAAGCTACACACATATGCAACAATTTTCATTCTAATATTTTTCCGCTAATTTCGTATAAAAATATGGTTCATTCTGTATATAATTCCCAAACTTTGTGCAAAACTCGCGAAAATTCAGCAAATTTTCATGAAAGTTTTGAACTTTTTAATCAGATTTTTTAGAATTTTTTGAGTATGCAGGTTTGTAGCCTAATCAATTTTATTATATATAGCAAGTTTTATGTAGCTAGGAATTACCGTTGATTTTTGGGAATTTTTTTCACGCAGTCTTCCACACAAACATTTTTTTTTCGAAAATACTTTATATAGAAAAAACGCAAAACACCTTCAACAAAAAAAAAAATCTCAAAAATCAACGCGATTTTTTACTAACTCCGAGCTTGCATTTTTTTTAATAGAATTTAATTTATCAAAAAAATTCTGAAAAATATGATTAAAAAGTTTAAAAGTGAAACCTTTAGTTTGTATATAAGGCCTTCGAGTGATCTGTGTAACTTTTGATGGGAAACGGGTTATATTCAAACACAAAAAAACTAGGTTTCCAAGAAATTGCATATGACATTGAAAATCCCATTACGATACTATGCATTAGTTGCGTTCCAGATGCTTCACGATTTGCAGGTTTTTACAGGAAGTCGCTCCAGGTGGCCACCTTCCATAAGGTTTATTAATGGAGAAAACAGCTGTTCCTGGAAATCGTGAATATCGTGAAGCATCGGGAAAGCAACTATTATTTACATAAAAAAGTGAATAAACACAAAGCAGCAGTGGGCTAGAACCAAGACCTTTGCTAGAACTATCCAAAGTGATCAGAACGGGAAACACCATGACAAGGGGAGCACCGTGAGCGTAAACGGTGAGACTTTGGTAGCGCTGAAAAGTATGTACGTATGTAGGTTCACTCTTTCGATTGTCTTTAATTCACAAAATTGCATTATATACATATGTAGGACATTATTTTATTTATGTAGAATTAACAAGCACTTTTAAAGTCTTGTTCGAGAGTTAGTTAACGCTACTCAGAAATGCATACACACATATGTATTTAAATATAAACTTATTTGAAAGCTAAGCTAATTACATATTCTCTTTGCCGCTATCAGTATCCTCCTTTTCATCCTTTTTACCTTTATTAGATGTACAATTCTCCAGAATTACATCCACTTCGTCGCATTGCTTATTTAATTCTTCAATTGTGTCTTGAACTTCTGCTAACGTATTTAGGAATTCATTAAGGTGCACGGCGCTGGCACGAAGTATTTTTTCTTTATTACGCAAAATATCAAATTCATTATTTTTATGATAATAATCATAGTTGTTTATACAATAGCGTGTATGCCGTTGCAAGTCGGTGATCTTTTCCATTGCCTGTTCAATAAAAGAATTCATGGCGAATCGTTCTAAAAGTACTATAAAACATATTGTGAGGTAAATAGTAATCATATAATTGGTATATAAACTTACGTTTATTTTATTAAATAAATTTTCGAAATCACTTGCAACTTACAACCGATGAAAATCGCGGGCACAAACTGTCAGAATTTTGCGTCCAGTCGCTTAGGTTCGTTTAATGAGTAAAATCAGCTGTGGCGAACGTCACTAAACTGTTCCCAATTTACCTTGCGGTACGTTCAGTGAATGGACGCCAAATTACAAAAAACAAAACAATTACGTTAAAAATTTATTTAATGATTTTCAGTTCCGTAAAACTAAAATTTTAGGTACTTGCTGGTAGTTTTAAAATTGTAAGTACTTGCCAAGTATTTTTTCTTTTACCAGTATAAATAAGCAAAATACAATACAAAATAAATAAAGGCATCTTCCATGGGCATCTTGTTCACAGCTGTCAAAACGAGTTTGTTTTGACATAAGTCGAATCGCTCAAAAGTTTACAGAAACAGAGCACGTGGTGACTTTCTAACAAAAATTCGCAAAAATACTATATTTTCATAATTTAAATAGAAAATAAAATGGTAATAATGAAAGCTAAAAGAATAAAGAAACCATTCAAATCGCAAAAGTTTCGTCGTAATGCGAAGCTCAACGAGAAAGATGCCGCAATTGAGGAGCCGCACAGCGAGGTGGTTCCTAAAGAAATACGCATAATTGCGCAGGAGGTGGAAATTGTCCGTTCACTTGCATGTAATGATCTCAACAAACGAAATCGTCAAATTCGAAAACTACGTAAGTGGTTGCAGTTACGCGCGAGCAGTTCTTTTCCGTTTACAGAAGAGAATTTTCTACGCATATGGAAGGGTCTTTACTATAACATGTGGATGTCAGATAAACCCTTGGTTCAAGAAGATTTAGCCGAGCAACTGGGAAAACTAATTGAGTGCTTCGATGGAGACGTTGCAACTAGTGTGAATTTTTTTGGTGCCTTCATGCGGACAATGTGCAACGAGTGGTTTGGCATCGATCAATGGCGCATAGACAAGTTCATGATGCTTGTCCGTCGAATGCTGCGTTACATGTTCCGTGTTCTTAAAAGTGATGGTTGGACCGAGGATTCCATCAAGCTATTCAATGAGCATATGCAGTTGACAATTTTAGGGGATGAGAGCCCAGCCGTTGGATTAACAATGCATTACTTAGACATTTTCTTCGAAGAACTAGCAAAGGTGTCGGATGGAGATATCAGCGCAGAACAGGTGGGATACTTTGTGCTCCCGTTCGTTACCTATTTAGGAAAGGGCCGCGACGCTAAATTAGTTTCACACTGTCGTTTACAAGTGCTGAGTCATTTGCTTTACCAAAGTGCTTTGGGACGCGAATACACTGAGAAATTCAATTCATGGAAACATATGGGTTTCCCAACTGCTTCCATAAACGATTTGGAAAAAGTCGAAGAAGATAGTGAAAATATAAAAGACGAAACTTCGGAAAATGATGACGATAATAATGAAAAGGAGAAGCACTTAGATCCGCGTGCTGGAAACGTTGACGTTATTATGCCAGAACTACCATTAGATGCTAAATATGTCATCGAAGAACTGGAAAGACTTATCTATAAAGATGATGAGATCAGCACTAAGATTAGAAAAAGTTTGCGAAAGCAATTGGGTATTTTCCAAACTTATCAGCGCGGCGAATTCCCACTTGGTGTAAAGAGGATGCCACGCTTCGAAGCAAAGACGGATAAACCTTTGATGAAGGACAAAATCGAGCAGTTAGAAAATGTAGAAAATGAACTTTTTGGTGTGGGGCGAAAATTAAAACAGCTTAACAAACGAAAACGGCGCAAATTGCTCAACAGCCTAAACTTCGAAGAAGTAGATGAATCCAATTTTGATCAAACAATTCTTAAGGCACTACCGAAGCAATACCTTAAGGAGCGAAAAAGGAAAGGAACTTGCTTATTGAATGGTTGGGTAGAAGAAGAAATCGGTTCCGAAGATTTGTTACCTAAGAAAAAACAAAAAAATAAGACCAATATCGAAAAGGTGGACACAGAGACCCAAAAGGCAACCGTTCAGGAGGGAAAAGAACCAAACGACCAACAAACAGAAGAATTGAAATCGAGTAGGCAAATCAGCAATGAAATTGAGGAAGCACAATCCGAGACCCTTAAAGTTAACAAGGAAAAAGCAGTAAAAACACGCAAATTGGATAATAAGGAAGGAAAAACAAAGGATAAACCGCAAAAAGACCCAGAAACACCGGCAAAGCAAACGAAGTCGGAGTGGGACACACCATTAGCTGAGGGTGAAATAGAATATTTCATACCATCAAGAAAGATTCAATTAAAAAATGCCAATGGCAATCTTGTGCCTAATCCCTTGGCGAAGAAAATGCAAAGCAAAACATCTACACCTGTTAGCTCAAAAAAAGGCGCCAGCATATTGAATTCATCAACAGGCAGCGTCAAACGTGTGAAAATTGCACTCAAGCGCAACACCTCCCAAAATCCAAGCGAGTACATAAAACAAATCAAGAGTTCGCCTCATTTACCATACGATGCAGACAAGAAGCCTGGAAAGGGTTTACTGAAACCCAATTCAATGCCCAGCCCCATCAATCCATTTTATAAAAAGAAAATTGGACTACGCTTAGCGAATGATACAATTTGAAATGTGTTGAGCTGGCGATTTGGGTAATTTTTTTTATATGTATTTAAATTCTGTAGAAGTTAAGTAATTTTAACTAATATGTAATTGAACTGTCTCAATTAAATAAACAGTTACAACTAATTTAACACATGTAAAATAAATACGTTTTATCTTTATTTTGTTTATTTATAATGCATGCACTAAAATTCCTATGAAAACATTTATCGAATTCCCTTGTTTAATTGTACTGAGAACCTAGTCGAACTCAAACACAGGTTTACCCTCGTTGTCCCATGTATTCTTGCATTTACGGAAGGCGCATACTAGATACAGTGCTGGAAGAAACATCACATTTTGACTCAACCAAGTGATTGTAGTAAAAAAGAGAGGGCTACTCTGTGATGCGATGCGATAGGCAATCGCCACAGCATATAACATATGGCGTATTTGCCTTTCACATCGCATTACAGAGTATTTTATAAAAACATCAGCAAATGTTAACGAAACTAAAATTTATTTGACTTATGACTTACTTGTAGCTTCCCATTCCGACTTGGAAAGCGTTCCCACGGGCTTTGATGGACTGCCTTTATTTTTTAAATGCCGAAACTTGGGATCTTTCCAACAGCGATTTGGATACACAGTTTCCAGGCCATTCATGCGTTGTAGTAGCTGTCGACCTACAAAATAGTCGTTTTTCTATATGTACTTTTTGGATTTGCATTTTTTCTTACCCTTTTCCAAAGACTCCTTGTAGTAGTCAGCAAAAGTCGTTTTACGTTCAAGTTTTAAGCCATGTTTACGACACAGTTTTACCAAAGTTGGGAAGTGTACCAAAAATTCTGGACAATCGACTACGCCTTCCAAATGAAATTGATATTTAGCACCAAAAAGTGGTGGTGGATCTGTGTCACATGTAAACTCGATTTTGTAAAGCTCATTGCCGATACTGCGAGCATTTGGTGACTGACGCAAACGGCGCATTATTTCATTTGCATCCGGTATGGTCGCTATAAAATAACCACCTGGCTGCAGACATTCGGCTGCATTGCGTACCATGCATTCTGCCTGAGTAAGTGACTCAAAAGAGTAGTGAAATGCAAATTGACATGAAACCAAATTCAATTTCAACGACTTATCCTTGTAACGCTCGCGCAGACGCACCAATGTTGCATCACAAGCAAAGAATTCAGCTGAAAACTTGTTTGCGAATTTTGTTTTGTCTGCTCGCGATTGCATTTGCTCATATCGCGATTTGCATTGATCCACCGACACCTCGGCGATATCGGTACATATAAGATGGGTAATATTTGCTTTTTCCCATTTGAGCAGATCGCCACCTTTTCCACAGCACAAATCCAAAACACGCATTGGGTCACCTACACGCTTTTGTTCATTAATGCGCGCTAGATACTCTGCAATAAGTTGACTTTTCAGCCAGTTGTTAAAATTTCGCATATAGACTATGCGTGACTTGAGTCGCTCCTGTCGCCCTGTTTCCTTTAGTTCATTGTAATGTGAGGCAACAACACGCATATTACCATCAGTAATTGATTCCACTGTATCATCTTCGCGACAACCATCACTTTCCTCATTGGCAGTGCTCTCGGCTGGAATTTCAATACGGCCCCTTTTTTTCGGCGGCGAATCGTCGCTATCATCGCTGTCCGCTGAAAGTGAGGCAACCTGTTGTTGTTGCAGAGCAATGCATTTATAACTTGTGGAGGTAGATTGCTGCTCTCCTGCTTGATACAACTCTTCATTACTACTTTCATCATCTTCATCCTTACTGCTATAACTTTCTGCGATTTCAGCCATTTTAATCGCTGTGATTAATCCGAAAACCTACAACTAACACGATTAAACGCCAAGTAAAAGTATTAAATTGTGTTAATGAATGACAATTTCCCTTTGACAGCCAATTGTCAAACAAAAATAGGTTTGTTTAGTGCGCCATCAGGTGAGAGCTGGGATCAGATGTATTGAGTATACCAGAGTTGCAAATTACTAAATCTAGATTACCGTTATCTACATAATGGCATGTACACAACGGTAAACTTTCTAATAAGGCGTTGGTTAAAGGTACGTGGGGCGGGAGTGTATGCGTGGCACATCTCACCCCTTTTTGGAGGGCATGAACCGCGACTAACAAATATGCAACTCCCGACTATCTAGGGCCACTATAGGTCTCTAGGGACCCCTTAGAAAAATGACCAAAAATCAAAACTTTTGCGTTTTCGCTTCTTTTAAGCAAATGAAGGCACTGACTTCCCAATTAACACCAAAAAAATATTTCTCGGAGAAATTCATAGTTCTCAAGTTGATAGCCAACATCATTCTCCAACTCATCTCTAACCGACGCGCAGATACGTAAAAAGTGATAGAGAAACGAATTTTTAATTATCAAGTGAAAGACTAAATTAGGAAAATTAAATAATCTTCAAAGTATCCTCAAAGAATCTTGAAAGAAAATAAAACGCGAAGTGAAACAAGTGGCAAAATTACTGTTGTTGTTGTTGTTGTAGCAGCATACAATTTCCCCAAAGGGTTTTTGGGGATTGTTGCTAGAGTGTCAGTCCTTGACCAGATATAAATCTGTGTCGTTCCGGTTACGTAGACCCGACTGTCGTACTGTATACTGTTAAGTGAATTATTGTAATAAGATATTCATTAACTACATAATTTTAATGGGTAATGAAATGAAAAATTAATATTTAAATTCATCTATGTATGTCGTTTCAATCAAAAAGGTATAAGGTATTTTACTATTTCAATTTCAGCATTTCAATGGTATGTTACCTAAATGTTTGTTGGGTTGTATCAAAATGCATGAAACACTTGGAATAGTACTAAAATTTATAATTTAATTATTAAACTTTAGATTAGCGATAATAAAAACAAAAGCAAATCAACAACATGTAAAAAACACAAACCGATACACCGATCATCATATCGAAAAAAACATCGATGTATTTTTTTATCTTGCATCCCTGAGGCAAATGTGGGCCGAAGGCCGCCTACACAGAAAACTGTTCTTTACAAAAGGTGTTCAGCCTCTCTTCTTTGGCAGCATAGAAACAATTTCTAATAATATCTAAGTCCCCTTTCAGACACGTCAAGTCTTGAAAGCAATTTTTTTTGCATTCTCTTTTGTGTTTTCTATTTGCTTCCACACGCGTCAACTTTAATTGAATTCAAGTCCTTGGTTCTTTAAATGGGAAGCAACGAAAAGATCAAAAGAGACAA